TGGGTTGATATTTCTACTTGACTAAATACCGGTGATGCCCATACCAGAGCCGGTGTGCAAGAATTGCTTCTACCTCATATTCATTATATCTGTCAACAATCTCTGGTGGTGGTTCTAGGAAGTTTTTCCCATGCTGTGGTGTCTTGTGGTATGGTGTGAGCAGCGCAGCATATACTACGGAATGGATCTTCATAGTGCCTGGAAGGGCTAGTTTGTATACTAGCTTCGAAAGAACCTTTTGCACCTTGAACAGTCCGTGTCTCTTAGGTGCCATCTTCTTGAAGGGGTAACCGTCTTCATGATGAGTCATCTCCAGCCATACCTTCTGACCTTTAGTGAATGGGGTGAATTTCTGGTGTAGTCTTCCTGCCATTTGAGCCATGGCATAGTCTAAGGCTGCTTCTGCTTCTTCATGGGCTTTCTGCCTTATCCGAAGCTACTCTTGAATTGACAGAACTTTTGATTGTGCGAAGTTTGTTGGGAGTGCCTTAGGGTGTGAGCCAAACATGAGAAAGAATGGAGAATGTTTTGTCGCAGAATGTTCTCAATTGTTGAATGCAAATTTAAGGTTGGGAATGTAATCGGCCCAGTTGTGGGGATGGGTAGAACAGAATATCTGGAAATACGCCTCGATTTCCCTGTTCATGCATTCAGTTTTCCTGTTTCCTGTCGGTCTGTGGATAATATGCTGTGCTCATTTGTCCTTCTACACCGGTTAGCTTCCAGAGTTCTTTCAAGACAAGGGAGTTGAATTGGGGTCCTCTGTTGGAAAGAAATTTGTCCGGCATTCCAAATCTTCGGAAAACATGGTTGTGATAGAATGTTGCTGTCATTGTCACGTCCGTCCTTTCCATGCAGGGAATTATAATTACCCCCTTCGTAGAATTGTGGTTGACCATGACCATTAAGAATGTAAAGCCACGTGAGAGCGGTAGCGCAGTGATAAAGTTGCAAGTGATAAATGTGAAAGGCCTAGACCAGTGGATTGCCCATATTGGTTGCAGTGGCAGAGTGGTCGGGTGTGTGTTAACCTTCATCTGTTGGCATGCCGCGCATCTTTGTACATAACTGGACACAAACGATCGTATCCCTGGCCAGAAGAAGTTGCGTGTCAGTAATTCCGCTGTTTCGAATCGTCCGGAGTGTCCAAATATTGGTGTATCATGGTAGAGCATTGTAACTTGTTGGCAAAGCGCGAGGTCAGATGGTATATAGCACTGGGATTGGTAATAGAGGGCACTGTTGTTTTCTGTCCAATCATCCGTGGTCATTTGTACAGGAAACAGAATTGTGCTATTTTTCATTGCCACACAAACAGAGTTTGCATAGTCGTCAGTTCGTTCAGTTCATCTGATGCGATCCAGCAACACATCGTCTGTATTGGCAGTAGTGAGGTGTTGTGGATCATCTGATTGTGTCAGAAGGGATTGAGCAATGTGTAATGAGCGAATGTTTGTTTCCGCAAACAGTGTGTTCGGTAAGAGGATCTGATCAATATTATTGTTTGCTGAGTGTGATGGCCCAGAATTTCAGATGAGGGTGTCTGCCTGTACGAGTTGTGAATCTGGGCAATGATGAAGAGTGAAGTCAAACTGAGACAAGAATAATTGCCATCTTGCTTGTCTCTGGTTGAGTCGTTGGGCTGCACGAAAGTATGTCAAGTTCTTGTGATCAGTCAGTATTCGAAGTGGGGATCGTGTTCTGAGAAAATAATGTTGTCATGCTTCCAAAGCCCTGACAATGGCAAGAAGTTTGTAGTCATAGATCTTGTAGTTTGTTTGGCTGGCAGGAGGGATTGGAAGAGATAGGCAATTGGATGCCAGTCGCCATTAATTTTCTGTTGACGGAGTACTGCAGCAGTTGCAGCCAATGATGCATCACATTCCAGAACAAATGACTTGGTTTGATCTGGCATTAGTAAGACAGGGGCCGTGGTGAATTGCTGCTTGAGCTCGTTGAAAGCTTTCTAACATTTTGGGGTCCAAATAAATGGCGCGTCTTTCTTGGTAAGATCCACCAAGGGTTATACAATGTTGGAGTAGTGATCTATGAACCCCCTGTGGAAGTTCCCAAAGCCTAGGAATTCTTGTACTTGTTTGGCCATGGTAGGAGTCGGCCAGTGTAGTACTCCATTGACTTTTACCGGATCTGTTGTGGGCGTAGCCCCGGCCTCCTATTTTATTTCCATTTTCCCCAATTTATTCCACGTTTGTACAACCCTCCAAACGTCGTTGGCACATTAGTGCCAGTTTACAAGTCCTAGCTGCGCGCCAAAACACCTTGAAGAGTGCATCACCAACAGGCACGCATCAGCGCATCAGACGCGCCTGTATCGCCGCCGCCTTGTCACCACATCACGCTTCCTCGGTAACAGCCGCACTCCGACCTCCAACAAACATCCTATCCCCGTCAGCCCGACAACGTCATATGCTATGACACACCGGCCCTCGCTTTCTCGCCAAAGTCCCCTAGATACTAGCAGCCGCTGTAGCACAGTCGCTTATGTAACACCTGGTTCGTGCGCAGCCTGACTAGTATATAAGGAGTCCCTTTGTTGCTACCTAGCCCCATCTCAACCTCTTGGTTAATTGGGCTAGGTAAGCCTTCGTTTGTACCTTAGTATAAATCACTAATACACTTGGTTAATTGGGCTAGCTGAATAAGCTAATGCACAGTCGCCAGACCTCGTCGGCACCGCCTTCTGATTGGATCCTTGCAAGTATCCCTCGTGGTGTGTCAACGCAAGTCCACATCAGGATCCACTTCGATCTTGTTATATGAAACGATCATGCCTAGGAATTCTACTTTCTTGACATCAAAGATGCATTTCTCCAGCTTGAGATATAAGTTGTTCTCTTGAAGTTGTTGGATGACTCATATCGTTTTGCGCCAGATATCTGCCGAGTCTGTTCTGCCTATCAGAATGTCATCCATGTAGATTTGGATCCACCCTTCAGTGATTATGTCTTGAAATATGTTGTTCATCATGGCCTGGAAGGTTGCCGGAGAATTGCACAGTCCAAAGAACATGACTGTGAGTTCAAAAAGTCCTTGACTTGTCTTGAATGCCGCTTTCCATTGGTCTCCATCCTTAATTCTGATGTTGTTATATCCTGACCAGAGATCCATCTTAGTGAAGCGTTTCTATCCCTTGATTTGATTGACTAGATTGGATGTGGATAGGAGTTCTTGACCGTTCCTTTGTTAAGATAGCAGTAGTCTTGGCAGGGGCATAGGTCTCCGTCCTTTTTTCTGACAAAAAAAGAAGGGAGAAGCCATAGGTGACTTGGACGGATGAATGTATCCTTTCTGTAGATTCTCATTGATGAAGTTGTTCATCTTTGATTCTTCTAGCAGAGATAGCGGGTAGAATTTGCAATTCTTAGGGACAAATTCCAGTTTGAGATCAATAGCATGGTTGTAAGACCTTTCTTCAGGAAATCTCTCCGCAGCTTTCTTTTCGAATACTAATGAATAAGGTTGGAGATAGTCAGAGAGTGTTGTTTCAGGTTTCTGCATTTCTGCCTCTTGTGCAAAGGTCATTGACGGGTTAATCTTCATTTGAATGGAGAGCCCTAGTATTGCTTGTGCCACCGTGGTTGTGGCCGGAATGATGTGGATTTTACCAGAGTTTGGTATCCATGTGGCTACATAGTCTCCAGTTATTTTATTGTCTTGTTCAATAGTTGTTGATGAGATACAAAAGAGAGGTGGTGCTTCTGGGTCATTTGACATACAGTGAGCTTGGATGGTGGTATCCAACATCGGTTGGAACTTGTCACTTATCCCCGTTGATCCAAAACCTTGGTCTCTTCAATCTGTTGCGAGTAGTTCTTCCACTTTCTGGAGCAGAGGTTGAGCAATTTGCTCCACAATTACCTGGGCAATGCGGTTGCCCTTGGTGGCAGTGAAAGGGGTATTTCCATGATTGACCAGGATGACTTGTATTTCTCCAATGTAGTCTCTGTCGACTACTCCTGCCGCAACATCAATTTTCTTGAGTGCTAACCCACTTCATGGGGCAATGCGTAGGTAGGTATCAGATGGGGGTGTCATTTGTAGTCCAGTTGGTATCTTTGCTCAAGTGTGAGGGGAAATGACCAAGTCTTCTATTGCGGTAAGATTGTATCCCGCTGCTTCTGGAGATCCTCTTGTCAGAATATCTCCTCCATTGCATTGAAATAGAAGATGTTCAGTGAGGAGTTTTATGTTGTCAGCAGAGGACACCTGAATAATTCTGCCTTTTGGATCTGGTTCTTCTTCCATGACAACTTTTCAAGTGGTGAAGTCGAGTATTCCGTATTTCCAGTTGATCCGTGGGTTGTGATGTTGTAGCCAATCAATTCCTAGAATAGCATCTTGCTTCCCTAGGTGAGTAACACACATCCGTTCTTTGGTTTCTTTACTGCTGATTTGTACTGTGGGTTCTACATAATTCCGAATAAACCCAAGTCAGTTGGGAGTTCTGTCGACATTGAATACTGGTATTGGCTTTGCTAAGGGATATTCATGGAGTTGTAGCCTTCATACCACTTGTCAATCAATGAACTTGCCCTGAGCTCTGGAGTCAATGAGCGCGTTGATTTTTGTTCTAGCATTTCCTTCTGATTTCATAATAACAGATAATTTCATTGTCTGGGCCTTCATATCTGCTACTAATACAGATGAAATCGAAATTCAAAGAGGTTCAACAGCTGGTGTTAACCTCACTGGATAAAATCTGGGTCATCGTCCTTCCCCATGCGGTTGTAGTAGTGGTCGTAGATAATTTGATCAAAGTCGGGCAGCGAGATGGAGCTTAACATGGCGTCAACGTTGATGCACAAAGAAGTTGTAGAAGTTGCGTGTGAGTCTACTAGAATTGGGTTGCTAACTGCTGGTGGATGAGGGAAGTTTGGATTTCTGTCCCATTGAGCGACTTGGACATAGGGGCAATTTCCAGATGGATCGCCTTGGTAGTTCCTCCAGTTTTCTCTACCTCCTCAGCCTCTACCCCTCTGATTTCTTCCTCCTTGGTAGGATCCTCTCTCTCCTGCTTGCTGAGGTTGTCTGCATTCTCTGGCAATGTGCCCAAATTTTCTGCAATTGTAGCACTTAATTTTGCTTTGTCCAGTATCAAGGGCGTCGACGTCCATGGTGTTGGGGTCGCAGGTGTAGGGTGCAGGAGTGTTCATTGCAGTTCCAGAATTGGTAGGAAGATGTGTTTGCCTGTTCTTGATATGCCTGAGAATTCCGAGCCTATTATCTAGCTCGAGGGCTTGCTGTTGCCACTGAGAATGTGGCATTAATTGGCATGTGGGCAATCAGTTGGCGCGCAAGGGACTCCTTCAATCCGCGAAGATATTGCTGGAGGAGGTTTCTGTCAGCATCTGGGTTGACTATCTCTGCTTCTGCAATCAATGTGTTGAAGTGCACATTGTACTCATTGACTGTTTCATGGTCTTTCTGAACAATCTGATGGAGTTTGACCATAGCTCGGGATTTTGGGTTGGTTGTCTTGTAGGCTTCCAAGAAGTCCTGGCGATGTGTAGCCCAGGTGGGCCATCTTTGAAGAAGATATAATTTCTCCTTGACCGTCGCCCATTTCTGGGGTTGTTTCTTTCCCAAATCTTTCATGAGGGAATTGGCGAAGCGAATCTTTGCTTGGTCGGTTGGGAACCATGAGGCTTTGGAGAGGAAATACATTTCGCATTGATGGATGAAGTTTTGAGCTTTCTCGATATCTCTGGAGAATTCAGCTGGTTTGCTTATTTCTTCCTGGGGGAGGGCGTTGCGCAGAGTGGCGGCGAATGCTGCTAGCAGCTGAGAGTCAATGGAGTTTGGTCCTAGAGCTGCGGGAATTGGTCCTCCTCCACCTTCTAGTGGACCTCCTCCGCCTCCACTCCCTGGTTGTCTGGGAATTCCTCCTGGAGGTCTTTGACCTCCGACATGGCCAGCTGCAGCCCATACTGGTGCTGGTGGTGGCAGGTTATGGACATATTGTAATGCCTGGTGCAGTTTGGCTATGGTGGCTTGTCCTTGAAAGTGTGTACGTTGGAGGAGTTCTTCTAACAACTCCTCATTGGTGAAGGTCATTGTCTGTGTTGCCATGTTATCTTTTGGTAATTCTGGTTGTTGCTTGGTGTCCTGTGGCTCATGATCAGTGTCTGAGAGGGCTTCAAAGATATCTGTAAAATTGTCTCCAAGGTCTCCTTCTTGTCGGGCTTTGATGCGCTCTGCTGGTTGGTCTCTGGTAATCTCAATAAGTCGATCAGGGATACCTCCCAACCCCCCATCACCAGAACTACGAGTCAGTGAAGTGCTAAACTTACGCCAGAAAGGTGCCGGAATCGAACACACAGACACCACACCAGCCAATGACGGTGTCGTAAAGAAAAGGTTAGGATAAGAAAAGTAAGTAAAATAAAAATGAGGTTTGGTATAAAGAAGATTCTAGAAGAAATCTTAGAAGGTTACTTTTTAATAAAAGAGAATGGAGTTTGGTCTGTTCTAAACTAAAAGCAAGAAGGGTATAGTATGGAATACTTAGATTTGATTTTCCCAATCTTTTCTTTCCAGGATTCACTGGGTTAGCCTTTCAACCAAGCTATCCTGGTGTTCGTGGGGGACTAATTCAAAGACCACCTACTAATCTGCTTAAGTACTCTAAAGCCTCACTTGCCTGTTTACAAGGGACTTTTTAAGAAATCTTAGAAGATGGGCTGTAAGGAGGTTTGGTTAGTAGCTTAAAGACTAGCTACTTGGGTTAGTAGAATAGGGTTTTTAGATAAGTAAGTTAAGAGGGTAACAAAGACAAGTTAATGTCTTCGTTAACTTAATAAGCTTCGGCTAGTAAGGACAATTTAATGTCCTTAGAGGATTTGTATAACTTGAAGCAGTCTAAAGCTTCCAATTTAGAGTTGAAGATCAAGAATAGAATTAATCTCTTTACTGCTAGTCTAATTACTGTAAGCTCTACAGGAGACGTACCACAGTCTCAAATAATGACGCCACTAGCTCTCGCAGTCTAGGGTTAGTCAAATAGTGAACTTGTGTACTATACCAAGGACGTTTCCCTTCAGGTTATTTGAAAGCCAGAGGCTCTACTGTGTTTAAGGAATTTCCTAGGGTTTAAAGAAAGGAGTCTATTCTCTAAGAGCTAAAGAGCTCAGGGGATTAACTGCAGGTTTGCTGCTAGCTAAATCCTTGAGAGTGTGTGTAGTGCTTGGTGGGTTGGTGTGTTCGTCTCCTTTTTGCTCTCAGAGAACCTCTCCTATTTATACCTTTCAGCCTGTTGTTCCTTAGCCAATAGCAAAACTGGCTCTTCTATTCTACTGTAATTACTAAGCTACTTCTACTTTTATTAATAAGCATTTTGTCTGTATTAGTCAGCCTTCTGTCTGTTTTACTAATGTATTGATAAGCTATTACTAATGTTTGTTAGAGTATTACTATATTTTGGTAATTCATAGTTGTTGAGCATAGACCTTTACTAAGCATAGTTTCTAGATTACTAAGAAGCTGAGTCATATTATTAGTCATTGATACACTTTTAGTAAGCTTGAGTGTTTATGCTTACTTTGCAGCTCTGAGTAAGTGGTTTCTTTTTGATTTGAATACCTATTATTTCTTTAGTTTTCCTATACTTATAGTTATGGTGCATGACAACAGGACTACCATTTCCAAACACGAGACAACAAGTGGCACAGGTGCAGGAAAGTCATTTGCATACACAGAGACAACGAATCAAACACCAAAGCAATTGAGGAATGGACCATGTACGTCTGGTCACTAGTGAAGGGAGCTTCAGTCTAATGTAAGAGTCGGAGTGCGTAGAACATGAACTTTGAGCAAAGTCGGGAAATAATATAGAAAGAGACTAATAATACATAAGGCTGAAGCTAAAGTACACAACATTTCTGGAGGGTATTTATACTAACTTAACTACTGCAGGATCAGCAGAGAAGGGACAATGTATATACGAGAATGTCCAGGAAATGGAAGTGGACCAGAAATGGACCGGAAATGGAATAGTCCGGAAAAGGGTGGAACCTTCGAGTAGGCGCTTACTGTCCAGTAATAGGGAGTAAAGAAAAACATATACAGAGAGACGGACCGATTGTAACACTAGGGCATGTTTGCACGAGATGCCGGCCATGCATTTCTATAAATTACATCTACACCAGAGTAGTAGGCAATGATGCACTGTACTATTCTTGAGCTCTCAAAAGATATGTTCACGCTCACTTATTTTGCGAGGCTTCCAAAGGTGCATAGAGTGCAAGGGATAGGCTTAAGTTTGCTGCGAGCTCGTCTAGGATAGACACTGCGCTGACACTGCTGCTGCATGGGCACCACATGAGCAGGGTGGGAACGGTGTTCATAACATTCATCTCGATCACGCTCACGCCTGGTCTAGTCTAGTCTGGTCGTGAAAAAGAAAGAGGGCTCAAAACAGCGAAAAAGACTCAGGGTGCTAAAGCGCTTGCTTTGTGGCGCCGGTCGCAGCCGGGAAGTCCCGCGATTTCCCCGGTCAAATAATCACCCGCTGATGGAATCCTCGTCATGAAACTCGATGTCAACGGCTGGCCCAAATGCTTTCCTCCAGGACTTTAGCATCCCGTGCGTGCAATTCAATGCCTCATCTGGTGTAGTCCGACATTGGGAGGGCAGTTCTCAGCACCCGGCCCGTGTGCAATCATTCGTAAACGTCTAAATAAAGCCCCAATCTCAGACACCAACATCGTTACGGAAGGCCCACAGATAAGGCATTCAGGCACAGCGGCATCGTTACGCCCTGGCATAATTAAGCAGTTGGTAGATATTTCGGCATATGATTTTTCTAGGGTTTCGTATGGTTTGTCCGCAAGTTTCACCTGCACAGCCCCTTCACTGATGATAGGATTCAGGAGATGCCTCTTCCATTGATTTCGCGCACAAGAATTCCGAGGAGATACATCATGGTCCCGCAGCGTCGAAAACTTTCTCCTGCGATGGCATCTGATGCGCATTCGGAGTCCCTGTACACGGTCATAACATTGATCACCGTTTATATCTACATCGGATGGCTATACTGGAAACTTCCTGCTGTGCCGCCTCGACATCAAGATAGAAGTTTGTCCAGTGTAAATTACGGCGGATTCGGCTTCATCATGATGCCTAGCAGCGCCCTTCCTGTCCTTCTCTCGGGGGTATCACGACGCATTTCATATTTGATGAAGTTGCTGATGCTACGCATAGCCAGCCCCATGTCTCTGCAGTGTAAGTGCCGTTACCTTTGGCATGGTCATCAATCTGACTTAGACGTTTGTGGAGCGGCGCAGGGCCACCGGCAGTCCCATTCGGATTTACGCAAACAAAAATTAATTAGTTTCCTCAGCTCCTCGAAGATCTACTCAACTGGGGCATGTACGACTTGCTTCAAGCTTGTGTCTAAATTTGTACGCACCCTGCCCTCGTCTCTCGTTCACTTACTCGCACCGTTACCAGCGTTTACTATCTCGATTTCCCACAAGATGGATGCCGAACCAACGATCTCGTGTACGGCATTCATGCGCTTGAGTCGACACAGACAATTTTAGTCACGTATGGTGCGTTATGCTGTACACTACGAGGATTTCAATGCAATCAGCGCAGCCAAATTGTACTGGTTTCCTTTGCCAGTTCTGAGCGGTGTCAGTACGTCAGTGGTGCTGAAGGCTCATGCGATGATGCTTATCACTTCCGACTTTGTAAGCTATGCCGTACAGTGCTATCACGCACATGGCATCGATATCCTATCGCACTCTAGGTCGCTTGCTATATCGAGATTGCTCGTTCATTGATTTCTTGAGCATCGGAAAGAAGCGAGGAAACGCTGATGGTTAGCCGCACTCGCCAGAGTCACGATCACGAGATCTATCAATCTCATTGTTCAGGCCGGCATCCTCACCCTCCATCCCTTCCCCGCTTGTTCGCTCACACCCAATGATGCACAGCATTTGTCACGACACTCGACCTCACGCTCTTGGCGGCGTACTACGCCTGTGTCGCGCTGAGGATCACGAAGCCCTACTCGACCACGCTCCCTGTGAGCCTCAACAGCCGCATGCTCATGGCGGGCGGACGCATGGGCAGCTTGCGCACTACAGACGTCACCGAGTACGGCCGGGCAAACGCCAGCCTGACAAGGTGGAGGAGGCGAGAGCGGCTGAGACCGAGATATGGCGGCTCTTTCCCGTGAATTAACTTCGGAAACTGCTATTCTACGTTCCCTTCCATGAGGTCGTCACTTAAAGTCTAGACGGCGGTAACCGCAACCAAACGAGTGGACAAACTGTGATGCTACGGCAATGGCTGGCATGGTTCCAAGATGGGTACATAGTATCTCAACTGAGCCGCGGTTCGAGAAAGTGCTCATTCGCCGTCGTGGGTATTCCTGGATCCAGTGCGAGGACATGCTATACCTGTGCTATCTATATCACGGAGTAGGACTGATCTTCACGGCCTTGCACAAGCGGGCAAGTGAGCACCAGGTACAGGTCTTGCTTAAGATAGAGTATCGCATCTGATGATTCTCTGCCACCAGCGACGATCAGTAGATTTGTGCAAGCTATGCCCCTGCTACGAACTGCGGTGCGGTGCAGCAGAATGTATAACGTGCAGTTCGTGTCGCTTACATTATGCCGTATTTCTCCGCACCATTGGCACCTTCTCACCACAAGCGACATGACACAATCGAGCGACAGCCTGGACCAAGAGGTTCAAACATTGTACGAGCTTTGCCTTCTTGGAATGTGCTTGCCCTCACGCTGATGGCTTCTGCCTGCGTTTAGATTGATACAGAAATATGTTGAATGCGCAGTAATGAGTATGTGGCGGGGTCGCCCAGCTCCGTCATAAGTGGATTCACTGATCTTCTCTTTAGGCCTCGTCATATACGAGTTTGTTATAACGCTTGATCAAGAAGTGGCCGTGATCTGGAGAAGAAAATTTACGGCCACCTCACTGCTCTTGCTAAGCACTCGGTGGCTCATGTTGCTCAACCCTATTTTGTTGATTATACCTGTAGGACAAGCTGGGTGTAAGCTCCTCATGCTGCTCGGGAATAGGCAGATCATGATGCTACCCTCTAGATGTGCATTCTACTCTCTCTCACAATCTTCCCTGACAAGTTGCTGCTCCCGTCACAAGTTGCAGACTGACCTACGTTTTGGGTGCACTTGCGTACTTCGCGGCCACTGCCGTGACGTCACGTGAGCTTATTTGTCCTTAGATTATAATCGCCGGACTGATCTTGAGCTATTTGTAGTGTTCTCCGCTCTTCGTATATACGCACTCTGGCAAGCATCGAAGATGAAGTATGTCTATCTTGCCATTATACTTATACTTGGGGCGGTGGTCCCAATCGGAACAAATATCGTGCGCCGTACTCTAGTATGTCATGCCCTTGTCTGTACTGAACTTCATTTAGTTCAAATGGATACATAACACGACTAGAAGCGACATCATCAAATCTTCTGGCACCGTGTGCATAAGCATTTCGAGTATCTCGTTGAAGCTTACCAAAGAGTGCGTAGTGATTAGCAGCTTGCCAACTCCACTTCATTTGAGTCGTGTGCTAACTGCCAGTGCTTATCTTAGGTGTACGTTCGCTGCGCTCAATTTCGCGCACTTAAAAGTCTTGACATATATGCACGCAGTGCTCTTTCTGACGAGAAGCAGCGCAATTACTGTTGACACAGTTGTTCTTGTGCTCACTTGGACCAAGTCATTCAAACATCTCCAAGGGATAGGACTGCCCAAGCTTGGATCACCCATTTTGGTTGTGCTAATTCGAGATGGTATGCATACCAATCTTCCTCGCTTATATTTGAATATGTGACTCACGAAATGCCGGCCTATAGGCACGCTTTATTTTAGGTACGCTAAAAGGAGTTTCGAGACCAGCGTCGCAATCTTGATAACTGCACGATCTCTTAGTGCCCTTCTTGCAGTGAATATTCTGCTGCTCTTAACTTACTCGAATGACGTCTCTCCAGTGAGTGGCCATTTGCGCCTATCAGTGAGTTCTTAGGGTCCTTATATCTCGCCTACAGATCATTTATGCAGAAAGCTTTCTCCAATCAATGGTAACCAACCCACAATACTTGAGACGAGAATGTCTGCTGACCGGCAGCACCATCATCAACAGCCCCTTTTGCTTGTGCAACGCTTCATGCTTAATCTCCGCCAGCTCAGCGCCACTAGTGAAAGCTCGGGTGTATGTCTTTCCTCCCACTCCGCATTAAGTCTCCAAATATCCTCCGATTTTCTAGGGAATATTGGGGAACCTCTGGACCACGGCCAATCGGAGCGGATGCGAGACGATTGTGAAGATAGCCACTCGGATACAGCAGAGGAGCCAGAGTATTATCAGCCCTGTTAGGGCCTCATGTTGCAGGCATGCACATTTTCTATGCGCCGTCATGACTCAGACAGAGCTTATGTTGCACCGGTATCGCACTGCGTTGAACACGCAAGGGAGCGAGACACGCCTGCTCCCTCAAGTGGCACAGCACACTGCGAGGTATCTAGGGACTGGCGGTAGGCGGTATCTCGTCGTGTTCCAGAACAGCTTTTGAGGCAAGTTGAGCAATCACTGCCGCGGTATATACAGTATATGGATACTCTGACTCTTAGACTACCCCTGAACTTGCTATGGCATTGCTTATGTCCCCCCTCCCATCCTAATCTTGCGTCTTTCACTTTTCACTTCTTTCAAAAATTATAATAGCTATCTATCTCTAGGAATAGTACGTCGATGTTGCATCATACAGCGTGTCATATCTCGATAGTGGTACGGTGGCGTAACGATACCTTAAAGTCAAACGGAGTTAGTCAGTAGTATAAACTAGAACGACGATGGCTATTGCGGCCCGCAAACCCATAGGGCCCCACAGTGGCAAGAAGGAATGCCGTCGCCACGTATCAGTAATGATTGCGACCTAGGTTTCCCCGGCTCGATGCAGCAGCACGGCACGATTGAGAGTGAACGGAGAACGTGGACCTTGAAGGTAACCAATGAGCCCTCTACTCCAAAGAGATATAGGATAAGACGTACTTTGATGTGCTCCATCGCAGATATTAGAACACTCTCATCGACAAACAACGTCTTTGATGGAGATACTGGTGCTCTCATACGGTTGCCAAACGACGAGTGCGCGCACTGCTACGGTTAGCAACAAGCTCGAACTCCTGTTAGCAAACTTAGTGACCTAGCTGCAAGCAATCATGGTGAGCTCCTAGAACGCCGGGCTACACCAGCTCTAGCTCTGCGCAACATTGAAGTTGTAGCCCTGGGACTCTTCAGCATTTTCGTCGGCATGATGGACTTACGCGATATGTAAACACTACCAGAGATCGCAGCGCTTGTCTCTCAGCCTGTGCAATAATTTGTTTATACATGCTACCAAGAATATCGATTAGTGGTAGCAGTCAGCAGCCATGGCACAGAATGCGCTTGCTCGATGAAGCATGGAAGGACGAGTTGCTCATGGTGCTGAATATCCACTAGTCAGAGGCACGCTTTCTGCTACGGTCTTCGATGTCGCACCTGCAGACGCAACCTGCACTCCGGGTATAATACCACTGTTTTAGCCGCGCTGGAATTTGTCGCCTCTGCAAGCTGGCTCCACCTTGCGAGCAAGATATTAGTATTTCAAGGCAGACAAAAGCGATTAAAGAGTGGCCTCAGCGTCAGAGCTATCCTTCAGTGCCGATTTAACAGGAGGGGTGCGGGAATCTGATAGTTTCATCATCGAATTTGCTGTCGTCCGCGAGCTGCAGGGCCAAACGGACTGAGGACAGATGGTGGGGTCTGGCCAGAACATGTACAGAAGTACAGAACTGATGATGGGTTTTGGAGAGACAGGGGCGACATTGAATAGTAACAAGTACTTGTTTCACTATATACGCGCAGTTAACAAAAGGATTAAGTGGGCTTTCAAGATGCCAAGCGGACGGAGAGTCTTACTGCCAGAAGTACCATGAGATGTAGTTCATCCTCATCCTCGCCGTCTACCTACAATGCTCACGAACGACTGGGTAATAACTGAGGCACGTACTGGTGCTGCGCACCAGCTCCAACGTCCACTATCGGACCGTCGAGTAGGTCATCTGCAGTTTTGTGTCGAGATTGCAGAAGGTCCTCCCACCTCTAACATCAAGACAGGGACTGGCTATGGTTGATCCTGAGGATTTACAAGTTAGATAGGCTGAGGAGCGTGACAATGGTGGACGTTCCGAGGAAGCCGAGAGTCCTGGTGGTGGCGGCAAAGAAGAAAAAGATAGCGCGCTTCGTACCAGCTTGACAGCAACTTGAACTCGCATCTCGTCCTAACTACACGCGATGATCTCTGCTTGAGTACCACTCCAGTTTTCGCAGCTGCTCCGACTTGAAGCTTTCTGGTACTATATCGATTGCAAGCATCCCGGGATACAGCAACGTCGAAAATCATTTCGCACTGGTACCTTCCTAAAGCCGGCGCGGTTTGAGACCGTCGTTGACCATCTGGATTCGGGAGTATCCGCCACCTCTCTCTCCGCTCTACTTCTGGCACGCTGCAGACTATACTAGGCCATAGACGTGTCTTGTTGTCGTTCATCTAGGCTACGTCCGTTTCTGCCGACTGGAACCTGCTGGACACGAGCTTCTTGCTGTCTCCAGCCAACCTGCACGCGTTATGGGCCCTATTCAAGCAAGATATAACGATAACAGCTACAGTATGGTAGCTGTGCGGGATATTGGGTGGTCAAAGACTTAGTACTCAAGGTGCACCCGGGACTCGTCGTGTCCGAGGGGCCGTCTAACCTTGCCCGGTGGCTATATAGCGTGCCCGAAGCGAAGATGAAGACTATTCTCAAAGCCATCTAGCTATACTGTGAGTGCTTGTCATGGAGGTCGAGGAGGTCGATATTCGCTGTCTAGGCGCATCCGCTGACTAGACAGACTGCATGTACTCGGGCTCCCAAGACTGGTATCAGCTGTACGAAGTGGCATCGAAAACTTGAGAACCACCGCCGTACTCATTGACAGTACGACTCTTATACTGTCATTATTCCGGCTCCTGCTCCCATTCACTGCAGCCTAGAGCGTCCGACGGCAGATACTGGCCCATCCAGAGCGTGAATCACCAAAGGCTTGTTTGCTCGGTATTCACAGACTTTCTGGGCGGTTTAAACGTCGCTTCGCACCAATACCTCTCTTCTCCTCGCGTTCTAGACGTTTCCCAGTGCTCTGACGATCTCGCGTTCAAGGTTACCTTGCAGACTCGGCTGCCAGAACTCGTACGGGCAATTTACGACCACGGCTATCGCCGTCCTCGCACATTCGGGCCTGAGATTCTCAATGTTTGGGGGTCACTCGACTTCTACATTCGTCGGAGAACTCGGGAGCTTCCGGAAGCTGTATATGGCGGCCATCCCAAATACCTTGCCAAGTCATTTATCCATTCATCTCGGCTCCGTGAAAGGCGCAGAAATTGCGTGGACGGTAGAAACAGACCTACTAGAGATTGCTAGGTAACCATTCTCCGTGTGCTTACACGAGGATTGTTAGTTTTTACTAACCGTATATGCATTTTGCGCGAATCCATACAAATTTCCTCTCTTGTGACCTATCCTATCTATGCTTCACATACTAACGATGGTAACGAATTTTGCGGCTTCATGACAGAAGCCGCTTCACTTGCGCTGAAAACGTGCGTTGGTCTTCCCAGTGGTAATTTGCGCGTCCTATTTAGATAGAAAGCAATTCAGCCATGAGGCGTTGAGGTTCGGGCTTACGACCAAACTAAATGTGCCGCACCTTGTTCCAAACAGCCTTGAAGCCTGGCTGAGCCTGGAGATCGTCGATGTACGTGCTGAAGCGAGCGAACCTCTCGCCGCGCAGGACCTCGAGAGTATTCCTGCCATCGCCGACGGGATAAACGCCTAAGTCGTTCTCGAGCAGCGTAACGACGGTTGACAAAAGCGGCGCTACTGTCATGTCGGCGATGCTCCACTTCTCACCGGTAGCAAAGCCCGTGGCGGGGAGGAGCTTCTGAAGCGCGTCAAATACGTCGAGGAGCTTGGTGGCAGGCTCGTTCATCCAGAAGTACGCTTTGAAGGCGTCGAAGGCCTGGGCGTCGAAGACGGCGATGAAAAGGCGGGCTTTCGCGCGGAGGACAGGATCCTGCGGCAGAAGACCGGAGTCTGGGAAGAGGTCGGCAAGGAACTCAAGGATGACACGAGATTCCCTGAGCTTGGCGGACTCCGGAGAGGGCTGCTCCGGGCTAACCTTGGGGCCGCCATAGGTGAGAGCAGGAACCTGAACGATTATATCTCATTTCACGATCATAGTAGGAGGGAAACGAATGGGTGACTAACCTTACCGACCGGGTTGACCTCGTTAACAAAAAAAGCGGGCTTGTCTTTCAAGTCGACATGGTACGAGGTGTACTCTGCCTTTGCTTCTTCGAGGGCGATGTGTACACTCTGGCAGTAGGGAGAGAGCTACGCATGGCTACGTGTCAGATACTTTTTGAAGTAGATGGACCAGTCTCCGGAGACAGACGTACGGCGTGAGTGTAGAACGTAATTTGTTTGGCTTGAGCCATGGGGTGCTTTACTGCGTGTGGGCGGTGACAGGTGGGTACAGGATCGTCGTGTTGCGCTATCGTCAAGCACTGCCTTTATACAGTAGAATCACGATACATAGTCCGCGCAGCAGCGCATCACGGCAAATCGACGTTGCTGGGGCCATTGAATTGGTGAGTCAATGAGAAGACGTTCTTTGACGCGGACGGCTAATCACGCCTTCCAGATGACTAGCACCTGCGTGGTCGTCGGAATTTGTGCGTGGTACAAGGACGCCCTCATTGCCGTTGCGCAGAGTTCGGCCTATGCATCTGTATTGCGCCGACAGACAACCGGAGCTGGGACTCCCAGCTTTGGTATTCTTGGCACTAGACACGCCGTCTTCAGGTAAGCATTTATGATGACCAGGTCATCTGTGCTGGCAAATATCGGAGAACCAGCTTGAGACCAGGCTTGAAATATCTCGAGGGGACATAGTCGTGCTATGCAGCGAGTTGCGCCGGCCGCCGCGTGGGCCGAATGGGCGCCGCGGCGAGCGGGCATCGGCCTTTGATCCCGATCAGTGATGAACGCGCCTCCGTAGGTGCACCGCCGCGCCAGCTCCCAGAATCAACGCTGTCATCATTCGCCGCCAACCAGCTCGTAGAGCGATACAAGCCTGATAACAGAGTTCTCATGGCTTCCGAGATAAAAAGGGCTGCTAGGGACTCCACATTGTTCAAAGCAATCGCACGAGATGGCCACCAGGCGCGAGAAGAACCCAGCGCAGAGCGACGTGATTAGAAACCTTTGTGCCTTTTCACAGCGCTTCAAGGGTAGCCACAGCTGCTCTCGCTGCGAGAGAGCGTCGATAGATGGCTCGGGTCTCGTATTTGGCGCTTCTAGAAGCTGAAAGACGGTTGGGCCATGACAACGCGAATTCATCGCTCACGCACCTCCCGGAGGCACACGCCCTACTACCGCAAACATTACCCGGATGAGAACTGAGCACACTCGAGGTGCATGGTGATGCTTGTATGGAGTCGCCGAAACCGCTTCAGCGGGAACTTCCGACGGGCGAACGCTATGTGACGGTTCACGGGCAGCTCAGGTTCGCGGGTAGGCAAGATACGGCCGCCAATGCATAGTCGTACTGAGACGTGATGGTATTGGAGGCCCTACAGGCAACGTTCGGCGGCCGCCCGTGGTGCGAGTCCCTTCCCGCGTCGTACCTCGGGGACCTCGGCGAGGAGCAGACGCATGTATGTGCACCATTCATTAGGCACAGCCTGTACTTTAAGCCCATCAGTCAGAATGTAGTGAGCCGGTTTCGTAGAGAATTTGCGGTGTTAACGGGCAATGCCGTCAACGAGCGAACAAATTGGGTGAGTGAGCATGAGAACACAATGCGGTCTACGGCGACGGAGCCGATTCAGTTCGGCGGCCCAGACACGGGAACTTATTAAGTTACACCGGACTAGCCACCCAGAAGCGCCCAAGAGCGGCTAAGACACGCTGAAGAATTTCCGAAAAGCCCAAAAAATGGCACAAGCGAGAATCGAACCCACAGCCCTAAAGTAACCGCAGCGCGCTATACCACTAAGGCATGAGACCTTGCAAATATAAGCTTGGATTTGTCCTATAATACCACTTTTCTACCTCAAAGTCTTAGCTGTAATATTGTAGCCAATTATCAGGTATTAAAGCATTGGAATGTAATTGTACAAAGGTATATTCTAATGGCATGGCTAAGACATTGATGTGGCTAAGACACCAGTGTGGCTAAGACATTGAGTCATTAAATATTTGCTATTGATTCTGCTTATTGTACAAATGTATATCCTGATGGTGTGGCTAAGACACTGACATGGCTAAGACACTAGTGTGGCTAAAACACCAGAGCAGATGAACTATACTCAAGTGGAATCAATAGCAAATATTTAATGTTCCAATGTCTTAGCC